CTACCCGTGATCATGTGACGTTTGCATCTAACGTAACATCGATTTTTACTTAGTGTGAATTATTAGTTTTATATGTTTTAAAACAATCTTCCATGAAGTTCTATTACATTGAGTAAGTGTTTGATGGCTTTAACTGACCTAAAACCTAATCATGTATAGATATATATTTTTGGGGAATTGTCATACTTTTAAAGGCATTGAGTGAGTCCTGACAACTACTCTGCACGAAATCTATAATGGAAACGGGTCAACGCTCCGGTTTCAATCGGAATATGTTATTAAAGCCCGGGGTCTTGTATTAATTTAGAACAGAGTGTGAATGCAGTAAACTCTTGCGTAAGCGTTAACCTTTCGGAATGTGTAGGTTTCATACAGTTTGAATACTAAAACTGTGGCAGGTGGACCCTATACTTCAGATCTACATAAGCTCGTGTTCTAGCTAGCTATATAGACAGCTCTCTGTAAGATCGCTGTTTCATCGAATCCAGCCCTTGTGGTCTCTAACACAGTAAACCTAACCAGTGATCTATATAAGTGATTGGTCGAGAAGCACTGGATTGGTATTAATAATGATTTAGGCAAAATTCCACATTCACAATAGCAATATGGCCAGTGAAACGTCCAGACTTGATTCACAAAAAAGGGCGCACACATGAATTAGTCTGTAAGGCGTCTTCCAATTTACCATACATGTACTGATTGATCTGGTATTGTTCATTATCTTCTGTATTGCTATAGAAGAGTGTCAGAATAACAGGAAGACAAAATGTGCAATTTAGATAAATGTAACAATTGTCAAGAAAAGCGCCACCATTTTAAACATTTTAAATAATTTTCTCAATTTCTGACAACAGATTCTATGATGTCATATTTTACCCATGATCCTTTGCTTGAGAATCGAGATGGCGGACTACATAATACTGATGAAACGTTGAATATCTAGAGAATGAAAAGTGATATAAAAAATCTGTAAATTGCATTCTCCGACATTTGTGGAGCTTTTTCTCGGGGGTCATTGTGTTGTTTGGCTTGACTTCCCCTTTAAGGTAAAACAATAAGTGTCCCTCATTCATTCATTTATTCATTCATTCAATTACTTCATTTATTTATTAATTATTTCTATTATTACAGGCTGCCATAATATTCCCAATTAAATACAAATATTTTCGTAAAAACATGCAGCACGTGATTCGAGCTGATACGAACACACGAAGTATCGCCTCGTCACTGACCTCTACCTACAGCATTCTTTATGTAGCTTTGATGTATATTTTGTTTGGACAACTGAAATGAGTAAATGCATATTTTCAAAACTGTATACATCACGTAGTCTTTATGGATACATAATGTATATATGCAGGCCAATAATTTTTGTAAAAATATTATGCATATAGTAGAAAATGCCCGTTTACCTTAGTTATGCAAATGTGTTTTAACGTTTTGTTGACTCTCTGTTCATAGGTCAGTTAAAAATCACCAATTATTGATAAACTTGTTTAAAAGTAAACAATCACTAGAGGAAGCTAAGTTAATTATACCATAGACCCTCTTTTAGAGTGTCTGTGATTATACAAACGAAAGGCTGTAAAACGATTACTCGTAGATGGCGCTGTTTTTATTCATCGCATCACTCAGCTCAGTAATTATGCTAGTGGGCGCCCTTTCTGAAATATGGGCGTGGTCAAAACTCACATCGAAAAAGTTATGAAAATTATCAGCCCCAAAGTAGGCATATTTCTCGCATTCCCACTATGTCCCTAAATCAATACTAATCCTTCTATATAACACACTAATTCTGCCACATTTAACTTACTGCATTGAAATTTGGGGGAATACATATCCTACATTGATGAAACCGATACTTCGTTTACAAAAAAAGTAGCTAGACTAATCACATTTTCAGACTTTTTTGTACCTTTTGCACATATCTTTCATCAACTCGGCATACTAGATATTTATAAACTTTGCAAACTTCACACTTGTCTATTTTTATTTGACCTTAAACATAATCGCTTTGCCAATAATCTGAGTCACTACTTTGATGATCTGTCAATCTTGCAATTCCAAAAGTTAACCTGACCATGTCTCAGCATAATCTAAAATTTGTATCTGTTAAACATTGGAACTCACTCCTAGTCTCCTTTAAAATATCCCATAATAGAACACACTTCAAAAACACGTTAAAGCATTACCTACTACAGAATTAAACCTTTTACCTTATCAATATGTTTTTTACATATCAGATTTGTTATTTTTCTTTTATTTCCTTCTTCTATAAATTGTATATTACTACCTAACTCCCACCTACCTAACCCCATTTTAATTTAATTATTATTTAATCATTTACCCAGTTGTATTACCATAATATCATACAACAAGTTGGTTCTTGGACTAGATTAGTTCAGACGAACTACTAGTATTTTCCCTGGACCAAACCAGGAAATTTCAAAAATCCCTTTTTTCTCACATTGTTTGTTTTCTCTTGTTGTATATTTTCTGGTGAAATAAATCAAATCAAATCAAACAAGAGGACACATTTCAAGTTGAGTTCGCGAACGATACAAAGTGGCGTAGATTTGAAGTATTGTTGAGAATTTAATAATAGTTAATACTCGTTGTTTCCCCCAAATGTATCATTAAAATCACCATTTCGACCACTCCTGGGCCAGTGACCAGTGTTTGGGCGAGCGGTCGATATTTTCAGTAAGCGAGCGAGAGGAAATAAAAACAACAAAAATGCGGTCGTTTTCCGGTCGGAAAATACCGTGCGGTCGGAAATTAAGCGATAAGCGGTCGATTAAAAAATAGGAAGTTGGGCTAAATGAGTACTTATTTATTTAATGAGTGATTATTTACTTGTTTACTAATAGCTAGAACGTTGTACGTGTCTTAACTTTCAGGTTAGTTCTTCTGCCAATTTCTCGCAACCAACAACGTGATTTTTCATTTCGGATTTCGAGAAACTTAACATGAATCGTTATGGCATTCATATGCACAACACCTCACCATGTTTCAACTTTTAAATAGGCAGTAAACAAAGTCTTTCTTAGTAGCACTTCTATGGGATTAACGTACGGCGTCACTGATGACGTCATTAACTGCCCTCTAGAGGCGAAATATCGCAATGCAAAGTGGACGTTTGCCATCTACTTCACAGCCCCGTTTTAAACTCGATATTTAGGCCATTTCTTAGCACATACAGGTTGTTTTTATTCATTCATATATCTCAAATTTCATGTATGGAGTGACAAAACCTGACCTCTGCTTCTCTTTAAAGCTTTTCTCGGTGGGTTTTAGTTAAACAAGTTTTCATTCTGTTACATTCAAAAAAATGCAAATCGGTTACAAATTACAATCGTTGATCCGACGTCGTTTCATGGACAACACAGCGGGGCTTTAAACACGTCATACATTGTAACCATGGCGAATACGTCTGTCCGATTTTAAGTTTCCGAAGTTTCGCAGGTTTTAGTCTCGGCAAGGTTCGCGGTTTCTCGCGAATTATCATGACCGCATTCGTTGTAATACAAAACTGTTATTTTAGTAAGAAAGACCTCCCCGCTTTGTCACAAGTTGTCCTAATGCGTTGCCCCTGGTTAACATTGATCTGGTGGCTTGTTGTATAAACTACAAATGCATGTACTATATAATATTACACAGTTAAACCTGTGTATAGTGACC